AAGGCTCAAGGTGGAGTGCTTAAGGTTACTAAAGGTCTTTAGTGGTTATGAAATGAGAGAAAAAGAATGGCTTATATGTCTTAAATGGATCCACTGTTGCTGGAACAGCAGTAGTGACCTCACAGAAACCTAACAAGACTTCTATTTGTCACAAAAGGTTGGGACACATTAGTGAGAGAGGTCTAATAGAGTTAAGTAAGTAGAAAACTTTATGAGGGGATAAAATAGAGAAGCTAGAGTTTTGTGATCACTGTGTTTATGGGAAGACGAGCAGAATCAGGTTTAGTGTGGGAAGCCACTGTTCTAAGGGTATTTTGGACTATATTCATTCTGATGTGTGGGGGCCAACCAAACATCCATCTTTGGGAGGATGTAGGTATTTCATTAGCATCATAAATGATTTTTCTAGGATGGTATGGATTTATTTTTTGAAAACTAAGGGAGAAGCCTTTAGGAAGTTCAAGGATTGGAAGATTATGATAGAAAACGAATCTGGTAAGAAAATCAGGAAACTTAGGATAGATAATGGGTTAGAATTTATCAATGAAGAGTTTGATAACCTGTGTAGGGAGAGTGGAATGCTGAGGCATAGAACTGTTAGACACACACCCTAGTAGAATGGTTTAGCAGAGAGAATGAATAAGACCATTCTTGAAAAGGTTAGAAGCTTGTTATCTTGTTCTAAATTACCCACCAGGTTTTGGGCAGAGGTTGCTCACACAGTTGTTTACATGATTAACAGAATCCCTTCTTCAGCTCTTAGTTTCATAACACCCATGGAAAAGTGGTTTGGGTATCTTGCTGATTATAGCAACCTTAGGGTTTTTGGATGCACTGTTTATGTTCATGAGAAAACTGATAAGCTAAAACCAAGGGCTATTAAATGTATTTTCTTAGGGTATCCTGATGGCATAAAAGGTTATAGGTGTTGGCATATTGTAGGAAGAAGATGTATAATCAGTAGAGATGTTAGGTTTAATGAGGATGAGGTGATTGGTCTAAATCAAAATGGTTTGAGTGAGTGTGAAAAGGACAATACAGTTAGGACATAAATGATTAACCTAGATTTAGGTGAAGATATCTCAAACCTAGATAGCCCTGGTCCAGAACCTAATATTGATGTTCAAACCCAGGAGGATGAACCTAGCCTAGAGGATAGTGGTGATAATGAGAGAGTTGAAAATGAATTGCAAAATTATCAACTAGCTAGAGATAGAGAAATAAGGGAAATCAGATTACCTAGTAGGTATTCACATGCTAATTTGGTAGCCTTTACTCTTCAAGTTGCTGAAGAAATTGATGAGGAACCTAGAACTGTTAAGGAAGCTATGAGTTGTAGAGAATCTAGGCAGTGGAAACTGGTTATGCAAGAAGAATTTGATTCCTTAATCAAAAACCAAAGCTGGATTTTGATTGACAAACCTAAAGGCAGTAGGGTGATTAAATGCAAATGGGTTTTTAAAAGGAAAGAGGGCATACCAGGGGTAGAAACACCTAGGTTTAAAGCAAGATTAGTGGTAAAAGGGTTTACACAGGTTGAAGGGGTGGACTACAATGAGATTTTCTCACCTATAGTGAGACATACCACCATTAGAATACTGTTATCTTTGGTAGCTCAGTTTGGTTTAGAACTAAAGCTGTTAGTCATAAAAACAGCCTTCTTAAATGGTGATTTAGAAGAGTAAATTTTAATGGAACAACCTGAACTGTTTGAAAAGGGGCCTAAGAACCAAGTCTGTTTTTTGAAAAAATCCTTGTATGGTTTGAAGCAGCCACCTAGGCTGTGGTATAGGAAATTTGATTATTTTATGTTGAATGCTGGTTTCATCCGAAGTAGTTTTGATGGTTGTTTCTATTTCAAATGTTTATATGGTGAATGCTACATATACTTGTCTCTATATGTGGATGATATGCTGCTAGCTTGTAAGGATTTTTCTGAAATTGATAGATTCAAAAGGGAAATGAGTAAACATTTTGAGATGAAAGATTTAGGACAAGCTAGAAAGATTTTGGGTATGAACATTGAAAGGGATAGGAAAACTAGAAGTCTTATGCTGTCACAGAAAGAGTATGCTGGAAAATTAATCAAGAAGTTTAACATGCTTGACTTTAAACCTGTCAGAACACCATTAGGTCAACATTTTAAACTTAGTGTAACCCTATGTCCAGAAACTGAAGAAGAAAAGAAGGAAATGGCTTGTATACCATATGCAAATGCAATAGGGAGTCTGATGTACTTAATGGTCTGTACTAGACCAGATTTGGATTTTGCAGTTAGGTCAGTTAGTAGGTTCATGAGTAACCCTGGAAAGATTCATTGGGAAGCTGTAAAATGGGTACTTAGATATGTGAAGGGTACACTATCCATTGGTATTGTTTACAACAGAGGGCAAATTCAGGAGAATCCCATTTTGGGATGTGTGGATATTGATTATGCTGGAAATGTAGATAATAGGAAATCCATGACTGGTTTCTGTTTTACCATTTGGAATAATCTGGTTTGTTGGAAAGCTAATTTGCAGGCTATTGTAACTTTGTCCACCATAGAGGCAGAGTATGTTGCAATTACAGAGGCAATCAAGGAGGCTATGTGTCTCAGGGGAATGCTTGATGAGATGGGACTGGTTTAGCAACAAGTTCCAATCAAGAGTGACAGTCAAAGTGCCATTTTTTTGTGCAAAAATAAGGTCTTTCATGAGAGGTCGAAACACATAGATGTTAGACTGCATTTCATCAGAAACCTGATTGAAGATAAAGTCATTAAGGTGGAGAAAATTCTTGGAAACGAGAACCCAACAGATATGTTTAATAAATCAGTGACTTTGGACAAGTTAAGGCTCTTTAAGAGCCTTCTACATAGTGAAGAGAACTAAAGGATTTTTTCAGGGCAGTAAGAAAGGGAGAAGATCAAATGCCAAGGTGGAGATTTGTAGTGATGTGGCACTTGATATTCACACATGTGGAAGTCAACTTTTACCTTCGGTGGTCAATGTTAATTGTTATTGACTTAAAGAGGCATTTCAGTCTTTCTGGTATCTTCAATAAACCTAATCTGATTTAGGTTTTACGCAGCTCATTCTCGATCATTCTCTCTTGGTTAACAGAGAGAGAAAACGGTTAGAATATGCTGTGCTGGAAATCCGAAGAACGTCGATGGAATCAAACGGTGATGGTAGGTCTTAGCTGTCCTATTTGTTTTGCCTTTGTTTGCTATATAAATTGCCTCTAATCTCTACCTATTTGATTATGTATGAGTGGTGATAGCATCTGGGTGTACGGGTGTAAATCAGAGGGGTTTTATCGGGTTGTACCTTGTGTAAAGGGGGTGAGCCTAATCTCTGTAAGGTTTCTCATTTTTCTCATAGTGGATTCTTTTTCTTTTGCCCTGAAGAGTGGATGTAGGTAATCTTTCATATTACCGAACCACTATATATCTGATGTTCTTAATTTTCTTGTTTTTCTGCTTTATCTGATTATTGCTGTAAACTTGTGGTTTTGGCTTGGATTCGAATACTGCATATTGTGTTCTGTTTTTGGCTCTCATGTTACAATAGATACATTTCCTACAACTCGAACAAAAGACCCCCTAAGTATAACTAACCCTAATAGTTAAAGGGTTTGTTATCTAATCACAAGAAGAGAGGTAACTTCCCATTCTTTCATTTCCTCTAACTCTCGAACCTTTCAAGTTCTACAACTACAAAGTATTTTAATTTCATTTATAATATTTCATAATCTTGAGACTATAAATAGATGTATTGTGAAAGATAATGTACACTCAACTTTGGAATAGAAAAGCATTGGTTTTATTTATCCTCGACCATCTTCTCTCTTCTCTTAGTTTATTTTATAACACATTTAATATTTTTAATTAATTACTTGTATTTTGTAACGAGCTGTGCATGTCCCTTGCAGTAAGCTTCTAAAACAAGATCAAAACATTTAGGCCTATAAATATGAGTATAGGACTACAGTCTGAACTTTACCAAACACAAAATCCAAACAATTTTGACATTTTCATTCATTAATAATTTGTATCTGCAAAATGCAAACCTGGTTCATTATCCTTTTCTCCATCTCCATAGCTTTCCTCCTCAAAGCTTTCTCTAACCTTCTCTTTCCCAACAAATATCTTCCTCCTGGCCCTCCAACCTTCCCCATTATCGGCAACTTATTGTGGCTTCGAAGATCAACTTCTCAAATTGAACCCATCCTCCGGAATCTCCATGCCAAATTTGGCTCCATTGTTACTCTCCACTTTGGCTCTCGCCCTGCCATCTTTGTTGCCGATTGCTCCCTTGCCTACAAGGCTTTAGTCCAAAATGGTGCTGTCTTTTCTAATCCTCCACCGGCTCCTCCCACAACCAACACAATATCACTTCCTCTTCTTATGGCCCTACGTGGCGCCTCCTGCGCCGTAATCTGAATAGGGAAATTCTCCACCCTGCACGTGTGAGGAGCTACACGCGTGCGAGCAAGTGGGTTCTGCATATTCTTTTGGATCGTCTTCAAGTCAGAGTCCACAAATGGTGATCCAGTTCGTGTAATGGATCATTTTCCATACGGCATGTTTTGTTTATTAGTGTTTATGTGTTTCGGAGACCAGGTTAATGAAGGCCAAATCAAACATGTTGTATTGAGTAAGATATATCATGTTGTACTGTATGTTATGTTATTTACATCAAACAATTGCCTTATTTTGGAAGATATTTCTCCCTAATTAAGGAAGGATATATATATATATTATCCCCTTTTTTCTCTTTTATCTTTGTCTCTTCCCTTACTAATTTTCTTTCAGTCATCTTTAACACGGATTATGTGTCATTCATCTTTAATTCCATCTTAGATATATTTTTTTAAATAATAATTAAACAGAAGTTTATGATGTAATAAATAAATAACAGCTCTTGAAAAACAATGGAAGAAATTTAGCTAACATTTGCCACTCCAGCAGTAGAAAACAAAAACAATGCTGTTTGCTTTTACATAAAACGGTGCGTTTTTTAATAAGAGGATCCAGCTTCAGTTTATCTTTTAAAAAAACAAGGAAAAAAACACCAGACTCAGGGTCAGGGCTTCCTCTCTCAAATAGATCTATCAGTAAGTTTCCTTCTTTCTTCCAGTTCCACTCAGTATTGCGATTCCAGCTTTGTATTTTTTTATTTTCTTGTTTACTAATTTACCAGATTAGTTAATTTTTTCACTTGACTTAGCTTAAAGTTTGGTTTTTTCTTAAAAAAAAAAAAAAAAAAAAAAAAAAAAAGGAAAAAGTATGAATTCTCTTCTTTTTTTCCAATATTATTTTTGTTAATTAATGATCATCTTGTATTAGCGCGGCATTAACTTGATTATTTAGTAAGCTTTAAACATCTAATAAAGAAAATTTTGATGGAAACAAAGCAGCTATGTAAATTCATTTGATATAATGCACGCTTTGTTTGGTGCTTTTTTGAATATTTCTGGTGCAAATATTAGAGCTTTGAGAAGTTTTTTATGCATACTATGAAGTGGATGGTGGACATCATAGCTTCCAAGTTTTTGTTTGTACAAGTCAAGTTTCTTTTTATGCACACTTAAAGCGGATTGTTAGGATTTGTGCCGGGTGTATAAGGCAGTGGAGGTATCGTAGAATTTTAGTGCATTTGTTGCAAATATTACAGAATGTCAATAGCACTGAACGATGGATTCAAGATACCCATAGTGGGTCTGGGTGTCTGGCGAATGGAAGGAAAAGAAATTAGAGACCTCATCATCAATGCCATCAAGATTGGCTATCGTCATTTTGACTGTGCTGGTAATTTCTCATCTGTGGTTCTTTTACAATTATCTATTATAAAATATGTCCAAGTTTTACTTTCACATGAATTTTCCATGCCTATATGGAAACTATATTTAACTTATGAATATATGTGGTTTATTTTTCTGATTCTGAAATAAGTGTTATTGATTGACCGGATTTCAAATTAAAGTGTTCTTTAAGAAAAGAAAAAAAAAAAAAGTATTTGAACTTGAAGACTGTGTTTTGATCATTTGTACAAACATTTAGCTGCAAGATGATATTCATGTTCCCTTATTTGGGCTATTTTGGGAGGAAATGGGGACAAATTTGCATATGTTTTATATGATGTTATATGTGTTTTGTTGTGGTTGCAGCTGATTACAAAAATGAAGCAGAAGTTGGGGAGGCGCTCGCGGAAGCATTCAAGACTGGACTTGTTAAGAGGGAGGATCTTTTCATCACCACCAAGGCTAGTTTAATTGCAACTCTTACATATTTTCTTTCTTTGACTATCTGTTGGACACACAACATTGAACAGACAATGATTTTCCTCCTGAATTTATCCTGATTGCAGCTTTGGAATTCAGACCATGGACATGTTGTCGAGGCTTGTAGAGACAGTCTAAAGAAACTTCAACTAGATTATCTAGATCTCTACCTTGTGCACTTTCCTTTAGCCACAAAGCACACTGGTGATTCCTATCTGTCTTTTTGATCTTTTCTGTGAGGGTGTGTGTGCATGTGGGTGGGTTTGTATAAATCTGTTTTGCTTGTATGCCTATTAAAGTTTAATTCTAGACTGTGCAAGTTTTTGACCAATCCATATCAGCTGCATAGCTTGACAATCTGAATAGCTAGAAAATTTTAAGATGAATTATGAAATGGGTAGTAAGATGCATATTGTTCTTGCAAGCAGAACATATTATGAAATGGCTATAAAGGTGCATATTATACTTGCAAGCAAAACATTGTATATTCTGCTCCTTCTTTAGAACATACGCTGAAGGTGATTGGTTGGGGGGTTATCGATTAAATCAATTAATATTTGCTGGTGGAAAAAGGTTAAATTTGCTGAAGGGTTTATGCACTAGGCAATTATTACCTTATAAAGGATAAGTTGATTGCATGCCTTTGTGTTTTTGCTAACTAATATTGAATGTTAACTGCGGTTTGTAAAGTAAAGGTGAGATTGAAGATTTATACTTTTCCATAATGCTTTGATACTGTTTGTGAAATTGCCAAAATAATTGTTAATCTACTGATCTTTGCGGTGAAATGGAATGCTGAACGATTTATATTATCATACATACATGCAGGAGTCGGGGAAACTGATAGTGCTTTAGATGAAGATGGTGTCCTGGAGATAGACACAACTATCTCATTAGAAACCACCTGGCATAATATGGAAAATCTGGTTTCAATGGGCTTAGTACGCAGCATTGGGATCAGGTATGCTGGCAATTTGAATTTCGATATTTTAACCTATAACTTTGTATACTATATATATCAGTATTGTGACTTCAAAGTTATGAAATTACTAGTCTGTTAGGTCAGAAGAATCAAAATATTGTAATATCATGCTCTTTTTCATCCAAATAAAGAAGAAATGGCCAAGAACCTTTTAACATTTAAACAAATTACCTTGTTATTGACTTATGACTTCATATGTGATCATTGCTGGTGCCACTGCTTTTAATTTAAATTTGTGATGAATTATCCATAGTTTATTTTGTTTCCATGTTCCAACTGAAAGTAGTATATGCTATTTCACAAGTCCTTGAAGAAGCTTAATTTATCTTCTTTGCTAAAATACTACTATTCTGATAATCTTACCTTCTAATATTTCTGGCGATCTGATAGAAACTTTATTGCAGCAACTATGACATCTTTCTAACAAGAGATTGCTTAGCTTATGCAAAATTGAAGCCTGCTGTGAATCAGATTGAAACACATCCATACTTCCAACGTGATTCTCTAGTCAAATTCTGTCAGAAGCATGGGATCTGTGTTACAGCCCATACGCCTCTAGGAGGTGCTGTGGCTAACACAGAATGGTTCGGCACTGTGTCATGTTTGGGTGATCCTGTTCTCAAAGTAAGCGAAATATTCCACAATGTCAATAGCTTACAAAATTTTTCTTTGAAGTGCATATTAGCTAGTAATTTTCATCTCAATCTTCTTGTCACAGGGTCTAGCTGAGAAATACAAGAAGACTGTTGCCCAGATTGTTCTCAAGTGGGGCATTCAGCGGAACACGGTTGTAATCCCTAAGTCGTCAAAGCTTGAGAGATTGAAGGGGAACTTTGAAGTTTTTGACTTTGAGCTGAGCAAAGAGGACATGGATGTGATTAAGAGTTTGGATAGGAAATATCGGACCAACCAACCAGCTAAGTTTTGGGGCATAGATGTGTATGCTTAAGAATGGCTATTATTTCATACTTGGGAGAAGAATAAGTGTGAGTTATGAAACATCCTGAAAACTCTTTTGGAAAGACATTCTTCACTTGTATGGCAACAGATTCAGATCTAATATTGAATTGACGTTTCTTATTTATGACATTTATTAGCTTAAATTAAAATGTTTGGACTTTTCAGTGACTGACTGCCACTTCTAATTGCTTACATAAAATGTATTTAAGCCTTAAACTCCATTGACATTTTCAGATTATTTAACGAAAAACAAAGAATTGCTTTCATTCTTCATATTAGTTACATAATATGTAAACAACTGTAATATAGGGGTTTCTGAGACTATGAGCTTGGCTCAAAAAGTTCTGAAATGTAGAATCTATAACAAAGTATTAGTAATTTTCTTATATTTTATTTTGAGCGATGCTATTGGCCCTCTATAATTTATCTTAATAAGCCCCACCGCCGCCAATTAACCACCACCAAATCACTCACAAACTCAGCCACAAACCCACCCAAAAACAACCACAAATTGAGCCCGCCACCACCATTCCACCCATCCACCACCATCTCAATCCCTCTAAACTCCAAAGTTAGCCTCACCGCCACCAAACAACCACTAAATCACTCACAAATTCAGCCACAAACCACCACCCAAACCTACCACACACCCACAAATCCAACAAATGAACGAGGATTGCGAGCAGGAAATGGCGGCCGATGCGACCTGAAATGGTAAGGGTGTGTCAAGGGAGAAGAGATGAGCTTGATGGTGGCGGTGGATGTCGGAGTCAACACAAACGCAGCAAACTCAAGCACGCATTGTGATGGACAGATGCAGTCGGGAAAGTTGGAAACGACAACTGTTGGTGGCAGTGCTGGTGGGGGTTTTGAAGAGGATGGTGAGAGGAAGATGATGATGGAGTCGGGTGGTTTAATCAACGCCGGAAACCATCCAGATTGGGCCTGAGAACAGTCAGTTGAGCAAGGGTACGGGTTCATTTAAGGGTGGAAATTTGGAATTTATGGAACCATGGGTGGGAACCACGAAACCTTGGCTGGGTAAATGTCGTTTACTCCAAAACAATTGATATAAATCACAGCCAACAATTTCTTTCAACTCTTAAATAACTGAACAATCTTTCAACTACGGCATTAAAAGAAATCAAATTCACTTCATCTTTAATAGGGATTATACGGTAGAACAAGAAATTCAACCAAACTGTGATTGGATCTTTGAAAATAAAATAAGATTTCCATAAAACTTAAGAAAACTATTTCTATTTTTTTAGTATTTTGATAATAGAGGATGTTTGAGATCTTATTTTATTTTCAAAGACAAAACTAAAGGTCAGTTGAGCTTGATTTTTTTGTATGGCCTAGTTGATAAAGATTTAAAAGAAATTATTGGATGTGAGTAATGTGTATTGTTTTATTTAGTAAGTCAATCTCAGTCATTAGATTAAATATGGGTAAAGGGTAATTAATCAGTGTCTCATTTTAATTTAAGAAATTAATTTATTATAGCCACCCTGATGATATAGAAATTTTAAATTACTAGTAAAAGATTTATTCTAGATGAATTGTGTGTAAAATGTTTTTTGAGTCTTATTTAGTAATTTTCAGAAAGGATAAAATTGTAAATAAAAAGAAGATAGTAATTGGGTTCAACTAAGATAAAAGATGGGGCCGAAAGCATCACTCTTTTATTTTAAATAATTGTAATGTTTATTTACTTTTTTACCCTTATTTATGATATAACTAACAGGGAAGGATTAACGACAAGGGGTTCCTAATTAATCTAATGACCCTTCACCCTCCAAAAACGGCAAAAGTTCACTGGATGCTGCTTAGAGAAACCACCATTCCCAATTGAACAAGTTTTGTTAGGGTTTGATTTCTAGTTTTTCAATTTAAAGTCAATTTTTCTTGATATTGAGTTGTTAGATAAAAATATGAGTGAACCGGGTTTATATTGAATTGGATTTAGTTGGAGTTAGGTTGAATGTTGCTTGGGGTTGTTTTTTGGTGAAAAGAATAGCAAAAAATAAAAATAAAAAAAAATGGTGAAAAACGAAAGAGAGAGGCGATGACGATGGTTTCTACAAATTTTGACTGACACCTAAGTGTCAGTCGATATCGATCGGTGTCGAGTAAACTACTCTCTAACCAACTTCTTGATATTGACCTAAGTAGTAGTGATCGTTAATAGGTATAGGTCCCTTTGATCTTAGAAATTGATGACCGACAAAGAGTTTCAATCATTGACATCGATATCAATTGACATTGAGTGACATAAGGTGTTGGTCAATTGGACATAACCTTAGTTGACCAACACAGACGAACAACCCGCCATCAATTATTTGTCGGTCAATAACCCTGTTGTGAGTAATAGATAATCGATAGAAGGGTGTCTGTCATTGTTCATCTTCAACCTCCAGATTGAATTTCGATCTACTATGACCAACATGACTGATATTCCCACCTTATTATCGTGAGAAACACCTAAAACCATCTATTTGCATCATGCCTATTCAACACTAAGTTCATACAATATAAAAAGCAACAATCTAACCGAAAAAAAAAAAAAAAAAAACTTCATTTACATGTTTAGGACATATACATTTGAAATCCATCAGCAAAAGTAAACATATACAACTCCCAAATGACATAACATACCTTTCTCTCTATTTTGGGGCTTTTAAAACAACAATATACCCTCAAATGATTCAATAAAACCTCCTTCGAATCAAAAGAACACGATTTGCTACTGCTCACTACAGATTGAGCATTTGAAAGCTTCAAAATTGGTTGAAGGGTTAATGAGGTTACATAGTGTCATTTTCGTCTTGAAAATTAAGGGAAATTGGGATTGGGCTAGTCCTTGAGACACTTTCCACATCTAGGCTAGTTTTCAATTTTCACCCATAATTTGAGTCTTTTTTATTTTATTTTATAATTTCTCCGTAAACAAACCCACTTATGGAGTAACCCAATAGCTGGGAAGAGTAATGGTAGAGGTACATCTTACAAAGATTTATGTATAAAGTGATGTGGTTGAAAATGAATGGAAGAGAGAATATAATAAGTTTGACTTTTTGTATTTACTGTTTCAATCATTTTCTGTCACATTATTTTGTACAGAAATCTTTATAAAATTTCTTGTTAACTCTAGCATTATTGAATTGGGAAAGGGACACGAAGAAAGAGCGGATTATGTTGGGTACAAATAAATGCCTAAGAGTCTAAAAGGGTCATTCATTAGACAATCAAGCTATACCCAAGGAATAAATGACCTAGGTAAAACAAATTAAATGATTTAAGTCAAATAAAAAGGGTAAAAAAAAGGGCAAAAACAAACCACGAGCCTTCTCAATTAGGGGCCGTTTGGATGGGGTTAATATAAGATAACTGAGATAATATTTTTTAAATTGAGTTGACGATGTTTGGTTGGTTTGTAAAAAATTATTCTACAAATATTTTATGACAAACAGTAGCATTATTAAAACTTACTCCTGGTAGTACAATTTTGTTTCCTATGTTACCCCTAAACAGTTGACTATTTGGTCCAAATTGGCCTTATATCTGTTAACATTTACAAAACATCTAATTCACTCATGCAGACACTTTTGTCCTCACTTTTTAAAATTTTCAGATGACATTGCCCTCGTTATTATCATTATTTACTGGAATGCCATTATACCCAGAACTAGTCACCACTGTCAGCCACCGTCGACTGCCGTCGGAGATTGCCAAAATCGTCATAATGGCATATGACCAACTGTATATGGTCAGCCATGCATCGGTGAGGCTTTTCCAACCATGGGATCTGACTTTTTCACAGCCAGATCTATGGTCGTTTCACAACCAAAGATTTGTGGCACTGTTGGCGTCATGACTAGATTTGTGATACTACCAGTGGCCATTAGTGGCTTGGGGTGAATAGAGGTGTTTTTGTTAAGTTTAAAATATTTTTAGTTGTTAGGGTGTTTTTGTTAAATCTGAAAAGTAAAGATTAAAAGAAATTTTAAAAAAATAATAATAAAAAATATTATTATATTAATATTTAAAAAGAAAAACAATTTAGTAACCCATATAATATTTATGGAATGTTCTACCCACCCATAATATCTCTCTATAATAAAAGGGGATGAAAAAGAGATGCTACAATCAAAACGGTTCATGATCTCTAAGAGTAAGGAGCAAGACAATGGTCGTAACAAATAATTCAATGCAATAATAATGTTGGGTGGGTAGAACCTTTCACACGTGTTAACCGTGAAGTCCGAACAATGTGTGTTGATTTTTAAGTGGATATCTTTTTTCTTTTGACTTGCATAAAAAACACGTAACCCCAATCGCTATTAAAATAAATACGCTTGATATTATTTTATACGTATACCCAAAAACAACACCACAAGTTAATCTATTCTTTTAGCAAAATGGAAACCTGGTCCATCATCCTTCTCTCTTTCGCCATAGCTGCCTTACTCAGAGCTTTCATCAATCTTCTCTTTTTCAACAAAAAATCCACTAAAAATCTCCCTCCTGGTCCTCTTATTTTACCTATTGTTGGTTCCTTTACATGGCTTCGCAAATCAATCTCAGAAATCGAGCCTATTCTCAGAAATCTCCATTCCAAATTAGGCCCCATCATATCTCTCCGTATCGGCACTCGACCATCCATCTTTGTTTCTGATCGCTCTGTCGCCCACAAGGCCTTAGTTCAAAACGGTGCTGTTTTTGCTAGCCGTCCAAGATCTCTTTCCACTGGCGAAGTCATTAACAGCAATCAGCATACTATTTCTTCCTCCTTTTACGGCCCTACATGGCGCCTCCTCCGCCGCAATCTCACCGCGGAAATCCTCCACCCTTCACGAGTGAAAACCTACCAGCATGCCCGCAAGTGGGTTTTGCAGATTCTTGTTGATCGCCTCAACTCAGATTCCAAAAATGGTGAGACAGTTCGTGCGGTGGACCACTTTCAATACGCCATGTTTTGCTTATTAGTGCTCATGTGTTTCGGAGACAAGCTTGATGAATCCCAAATCAAACAAATTGAAGACGTGCAGCGAAAGATGTTGCTGGGATTTGGCCGGTTCAATGTACTAAATTTCTGGCCAAGATTGACCAAGATTGTATTTCGAAAGAAATGGGAGAAGCTGTTTCAGTTACGCAAAGATCAAGAAGCAGTACTTATTCCTTTGATTAGAGCGAGAAAGAAGGTGAAGGAAGAGAGCTTAAACAAAGCTAAAGAGGATGAATATGTTTTAGCTTATGTTGATACTCTGTTGGATTTGGAGCTCCCGGAGGAGAAGAGGAAACTTATTGAATCAGAAATTGTTTCTTTGTCTTCAGAATTTCTAAACGCGGGCACAGATACTACATCCACAGCGCTGCAGTGGATAATGGCGAATTTGGTGAAGTACCCTTATATTCAAGAGAAGATATTCATGGAGATTAAAGGAATTGTGGAAGATGGAGAGGAAGAGGTGAAAGAAGAGGACTTGCAGAAGATGCCATACTTGAAGGCGGTGATATTAGAGGGATTAAGAAGACATCCTCCTGGACATTTTGTGTTGCCACACGCTGTGACTGAAGATGTAGAGCTGAACGGATATATGATACCAAAGAATGGGACCATCAATTTTATGGTAGCTGACATAGGTTGGGATCCAAAAGTGTGGGAAGATCCAATGGCGTTCAAGCCAGAGAGATTTGAGGGTGGGGAATGTAATATTGATATAACAGGAAGTAAAGAGATNGGGGGGGGGTGTTGGTTATTAAAACTTACTCCTGGTAATACAATTTTGTTTCTCATGTTACCCCTAAACAGTTGACTAATTGGTCCAAATTAGCCTTATATCTGTTAACATTTACAAAACACCCAATTCACTCATGCAGACACATTTGTCCTCACTTTTTAAATTTTTCGGATGACATTGCCCTTGTTATTGTCATTATTTACAGGAATGTCATTATACTCAAAACTAGTCACCACTGCTAGCCACCGTCAACTGCCGTCGGATGTTGCCGAAATCGCCATAATGGCGTATGACCGACCATATATGGTCAACCGTGCATCGGTGAGGCTTTTCTGCCCATGGGATCTGGCTTTTTTACAGTCAGATCTATGATCGTTTCACAGCCAAAGATTTGTGGCACTGTTGGTGTTGACTAGATTTGTGGCACTGCTGGCATCACGGCTAGATTTGTGGCACTGCCAGCGGTCATCAGTGGCTTGGGGTGGATAAGAGTGTTTTTATTAAGTTTAAAACGTTTTTGATAACTAGGGTGTTTTTGCTAAATCTGAAAAGTAGGAGGTTAATTTTTTTTTTTTAAAATAATAATAGAAAATACTATTATATTAATATTTAAAAAAAAATTTAGTAATCAATATAATACTTATAGGAGGTTCTACCCACCCATAATATCTCTCTATAATAAAAGGGGATGAAAAAGAGATGCTACAATCAGAACGGTTCATGATTCTAAGACTAAGGGGGTGTTTGTCTAAGCTTATGAAAATTAACAATTGCTTATAAGCTAATTTTAGCTTATAAGCATTTGAAATTTTAAGTAATTACGTGTTTGGTTAAAGTACTTATAAGTTACTGATAAGTAGTTGACATGTTTGGTAAAATGTGGCTTATAAGTACATTTTATTATAAAATAACTAAAAAGGGTACTACATTAAATAAGGGTATACTATAGAATTTTAAAATTAAACAAGGATAATGTGGTAATATACTTGGTCAAATTAGCTTATAAACAGGGTGTTTATAAGCAAAAAAAAAAGTATCTCCCCGTAACCTTTTTTTTTTTTTTTTTTTATAAGCTCAACTTATAAGCTCAAAAAAGTTATAAACAAACAGGTTAACTTAATTTTAAAGCTTATAAACTAGTTTGATTAGCTTATAAACTTAGACAAATACCCCCTAAGAGTAAGGAGCAAGATAATGGTCGTAACAAATAATTCAATGCCATAATAACGTTGGGTGGGTAGAACCTTCCACAAGTGGTAACCGTGAACTCCGAACAATGTGTGTTGATTTTAAGTGGATATCTTTTTTCTTTTGACTTGAATAAAAAACACGTAACCCCAATCGCTATTAAAATAAATACGCTTGATATTATTTTATACGTATACCCAAAAACAACACCACAAGTTAATCTATTCTTTTAGCAAAATGGAAACCTGGTCCATCATCCTTCTCTCTTTCGCCATAGCTGCCTTACTCAGAGCTTTCATCAATCTTCTCTTTTTCAACAAAAAATCCACTAAAAATCTCCCTCCTGGTCCTCTTATTTTACCTATTGTTGGTTCCTTTACATGGCTTCGCAAATCAATCTCAGAAATCGAGCCTATTCTCAGAAATCTCCATTCCAAATTAGGCCCCATCATATCTCTCCGTATCGGCACTCGACCATCCATCTTTGTTTCTGATCGCTCTGTCGCCCACAAGGCCTTAGTTCAAAACGGTGCTGTTTTTGCTAGCCGTCCAAGATCTCTTTCCACTGGCGAAGTCATTAACAGCAATCAGCATACTATTTCTTCCTCCTTTTACGGCCCTACATGGCGCCTCCTCCGCCGCAATCTCACCGCGGAAATCCTCCACCCTTCACGAGTGAAAACCTACCAGCATGCCCGCAAGTGGGTTTTGCAGATTCTTGTTGATCGCCTCAACTCAGATTCCAAAAATGGTGAGACAGTTCGTGCGGTGGACCACTTTCAATACGCCATGTTTTGCTTATTAGTGCTCATGTGTTTCGGAGACAAGCTTGATGAATCCCAAATCAAACAAATTGAAGACGTGCAGCGAAAGATGTTGCTGGGATTTGGCCGGTTCAATGTACTAAATTTCTGGCCAAGATTGACCAAGATTGTATTTCGAAAGAAATGGGAGAAGCTGTTTCAGTTACGCAAAGATCAAGAAGCAGTACTTATTCCTTTGATTAGAGCGAGAAAGAAGGTGAAGGAAGAGAGCTTAAACAAAGCTAAAGAGGATGAATATGTTTTAGCTTATGTTGATACTCTGTTGGATTTGGAGCTCCCGGAGGAGAAGAGGAAACTTATTGAATCAGAAATTGTTTCTTTGTCCTCAGAATTTCTAAACGCGGGCACAGATACTACATCCACAGCGCTGCAGTGGATAATGGCGAATTTGGTGAAGTACCCTTATATTCAAGAGAAGATATTCATGGAGATTAAAGGAATTGTGGAAGATGGAGAGGAAGAGGTGAAAGAAGAGGACTTGCAGAAGATGCCATACTTGAAGGGGGTGATATTAGAGGGATTAAGAAGACATCCTCCTGGACATTTTGTGCTGCCACACGCTGTGACTGAAGATGTAGAGCTGAACGGATATATGATACCAAAGAATGGGACCATCAATTTTATGGTAGCTGACATAGGTTGGGATCCACAAGTGTGGGAAGATCCAATGGCGTTCAAGCCAGAGAGATTTGAGGGTGGGGAATGTAATATTGATATAACAGGAAGTAAAGAGATTAAGATGATGCCATTTGGGGTAGGAAGAAGGATTTGTCCAGGGCTTGGTTTGGCAATGCTTCATTTGGAGTATTTTGTTGCAAATTTGGTTTGGAATTTTGAGTGGAAGAGTGTGGATGGAGATGAGGTTGATTTATCAGAGAAGCAGGAGTTCACAATGGTTATGAAGAATCCACTGAAGGCACATGTTTCTCCAAGAACTAAATAAGTAAGATTCATGTCAGCTTCTTTCACTTTTTTTTTTTTTTTTAACAGCATCAGCTTATTCTTATTTGACTTGCGGTTTTTCTTTCTTAATACAACTCATTTGTAGTTGTGTGAATGTGATAGTACTAGTTAATTAATGAAAATATTTATGATCTTAATTTTAGTTTTCCTAATTGGAATTTGTATATTAAGAACATTGGGTAAATGACATTAATCCCTTGGATGTATGATAAAATAACAAAATCTTCTTAAGGTTTCGAATCATTGCTCTTAAATTAAGTTTTTGGTGTTAAAATAAATAATAGAAAGACAATTTGGTAATATTTATGAACACTTAATAATATAAATGTGAGCATTTGGTTTGAGGTCATAAAAGAAAACACCGGTAATCTATCTTTTAATCTGATAATTACCGCATTTGAGTGTTAAGTAATAAATGATTCCGGTAATCAACCAATATCAATAGTGATTACTATGAGTAATATAGGGGATAATTTGATTATCGTCTGAAAGGTTGTTATTTTTTAATTACCCGGGTGATCCACTGTTCATACCAATTTTACCCTTGATTAATAAATATTTTAGACACAAAGGTCTTCATATGTCTACTAAATGACAATTAGCACAAATGTACGAAATGAATTTTGTAACCTCATATATTAATTTCTGAACAGAAATACTCTCACTATTTACATGAATAATACCCAAAATACTCCTAGCCACTCAAGACGACTGTCAACTGTTGGCCACCACCATCGACAATTGCTGGAACAGTGCACGATCATCTAGATCTGGTTGGCCGTTTTCGATCAAATCAACGGTCAAAAATGGTCAAATGGTTGTGGATCTGGTTGGAAACGACTAGATCCATTCTGGCCTTCTAGCCGGATCCATGGCTGTAAATGGCCACAGATCTGGTCATTTTCAACAAGATCCATGGTCATTAATGGCCAGAATGGATCTGGTCGGAGCTTCAATTTAGATGGAAACGGCCAAATTGGCACACGACGGGCCAGATCGTGTCATTTGTGCGCCGTTTAGGCAGCGGCTAACAGTCGTCTTGGGTTGCTGAGTGTATTTTGTTAAAATTTTAAACTTTTGTTATTAGGGTGTTTTATCTAAATTCTCAAGTGTAGAGGGTTAAAAGTAATGCTCTGAATAGTAATAATAATATTAAAAAAGAATGATAATTCAATAAAAAAACCTCCAATAACATTATATTCCACCCAACCAAACATATTAATTATTTTTGCTCACCAATATAACCAAACATATTGATATAACATTTTCTCATTAATCTTCAAGGTAATCTATTTTAGTGGTAATCCTATCTTTTCAATAATAAAAAATTCCCCCAATCAAATGCTACGTTAATAATATAAATATTAACGGTTAACTAACAATATATTAATGGTAGTAAAATTTTAATTAGTTGATCATACCTCAAGGGGTCTATGTCTTTAACCCTAAGGGTTCGTTTGGTTCGGGGTCATATGAGATAACGAGGGTAATCTTCGTTCATTTATGAAGATTCTGTTGTTTGGTTTGTAAGTAATAAAATGTTACAGGTATCTTTTATGGCAAATCTTGTTTACTGTTGATTAAATAAGTGGTAATCAGATACCCTCCCTAGGAGGTGTTATTAAAAGGTTACCAGGTAATTTGATTTTTATACTTATTTTGACCTTAATTAAATACTATTTCGACACAATTGCCCTCAAATGTCTACCAAATAACTATTACTTAGACCCCCTATATTTGAGAATTTAGCTAAACCACCTCAGTCATAAAAAGTTTAAAAGTTAATAAAAAACGCCCAGCCACCTAAGACCACGGAAGAGATCTATGGCTAGAAATGGCCTTATCGACACACGATCGGTCAGATCTCGTCGGTCGTGCATCATGACAGAGACTTTTGACGGCTGCTGGCAATGGTGGCTGGTTGTTAGCAGTGGCTTCGAGTGGGTGGCGGTGATTTTGCTACAAATTAAAATTTTATATGACTGCGATATTTTAGAAAAATTTAAAATGTAGGGGGTTAAAAAAATTATTCAAAAAATAATAATAAAAAATATTTAAAAAGGAGGGCAATTTAGTAAATTATATGACATACGTACCCATTTATCTTCCAAACCAAACATATTAATATAATATAATCACCAATTTATTCGAACCAACAAAAAATATTTTCCTAAACATTCCCAGTAATCTTTAAGGTAATCTATCTTTCTTTTAATATAACATCCTCCATAATAAAACATTATATGAACCAAACACACCCTAAGGGGCTGTTTGGTTAAGGATTATCTCCTATGACTTAGGTAATATCATCTTATATTACTTACATTACCATGTTTGGTTGTCAAGTAATGTAAGATTCCGGTAATTTTCCAAAACTAATAGTAATCGCTTTTGGTTATGTTGTAGTCTGAATATATACCATAATTTTCTTAGGTATTCTGAGATCTTTTGCTAATCTTATTTTTGTTATGATTTTACCCTTTATTAATAAAATTTTAGGACAGTAATGCCCTTGTTATCTAAACAATGTAAAATAAATTTATAGACAATTTTAGCCTTATATTCAAGATTTTTAAGATAAAATTACCCTTGTACTTCAATCAAATTACCCAAGACCACAGCCACCCCTAGCCATCCCTAGGCACCATCCCAACCACCCAAGAGGACTGCCAGCTGCCAGCCACCATTGTCGGTTGCTATTAACAGTCTCCTTACTGGTCGCACGATCGCTAGATCCTATTCGTTGTGCACCGTTCAAGCGATTACGGTGATTGTGGCCAGCAGCCAATAGTCTTAGAAAGGTGGTTGGGGTGTTTTTGTGAAGTTTTAAACTTTTTTATTGTTGAGGTGTTTTAGCTAAATCTGAAATATTGAGCTTAAATAATAAAATAAAAATTAATAATGATATTAAAATATAAGGACAATTTAGTAATCTATAATGTACCCACAAATTTTTCCTACCAACCAAACATATCAATATAACAAACCAACAAATTTAATCTTATCTAGCCAAACATATTTTTAATAAGATTCACAGTAATCTTCAAGGTTATCTATCTTCCGATTAATATAACATTTCAGGTGTGTTTGTTTGGGGGTAATGGGGGATTACTGAGGTAATGTCATCTTATATTACTTGATTATCACGTTTGATTGTCAAGTAATATAAGATTTCGGTAATTTTCCAAAACCAATAGTAATTACTGTTGGTAATATAAGAGAGAATCTGATTACCTCTATTTTCTTAGGTATTTTAAGGTTACTTGGTAATCTTAATTTTGCTACAATTTTACCCCTTATTAATAAAATTTTTGGACAAAAATACCCTTAGTTTGAAATTATTTTACAAATATATTCATGGACTATTGTACACTTATATACAAATTTTGTAGAACACAAATACCCCTGGACTTTAAAAAAATGACCCAAGGGTGGTGGCCGGATCTGGCCACCACTACCAGCCCTCGACCACCACCACCATTTGTTATCGGCCGTTGATAGAATGACACACAACCAGACGGATCTGGCAGACTGTGCATCGGTAAGGCCGTTTCCAACACAAATTTGTGCTCCATAGCCGAAAACAACCATATCTGGCCGGAAAAGGTTTTATCAGCGCACTGTCGATCATATTTAACCGATTGTGCATTATTCCAATGACTACTGATGGCTGTAGGCATTGGTGTCTGGCTACCGACAGTGACTTAGGGTGGGTGGGAGTGATTTTGTTACAAATTAGAGTTTTATATGGCTGGGGTGTTTTAGCAAAATTTCAAATGTAAGGGGTTAAAAGAAATGATTCAAAAAATAATATTATATTAATATTTAAAAAGGAGGGTAATTTAGTAATCTATGTAACATACCTACTAATATATCCTTCTAACCAAACGTATCAATATAACATACCCACCAATTTATTCCAAACTAATTAAACATATTTCCCTAAATATTCCCAGTAATCGTTAAGGTAATCTATATATTTCCATTAATTTAGTAATACAATATTCCCTGAACCAAACGCCTCTTAAGGAGCTGTTTGGTTGAAGATTATCCTTCGTTACTGAGGTAATGTCATTTTATATTACTTACATTTCCATATTTGGTTGTCAAGTAATATAAGATTTCAGTAATCTTCTAAAACTAATAGTAATTACTGTTGGTTACACAGGTAGTAATCTGAATATCACAAATTTCTTAGATATTTTAAGATTATTTGGTAATCTTAATTCTATTACAATTTTAACCCTAACTATTAAAATTTTTGGACAATAATGTTCTTGTTTTGAAAACAATTTACAAAAATGTTCATGGACTATTTTATCATTATATACAAAATTTTTAGGACATAAATACCCTTAAACTTAAAAATAGTTATCCAAGATTAGTGGTCGGATCTAGCCACCACCGTTGGCTGCTAACGTTGGAGCGGCGCACGATAGTAGCTTGGGTGGTTGTGGTATTTTTGTTAATTTTTAGACTTTTATTATGGGGTGTTTTAACTAAATTCTCAAATGCAAGGTGTTAAAATAATAATCTAAATAATTATAATAAATAATAATATAATAATAATATTAACATAGAAGGACAATTCAATAATCTATATAACATATTTACCTATTTATTATAATCTAACCAAACATATTTAATATAATATTCTCAGTATTCTTTAAGGTAATATATTTTTCTTTTAATATAACATTTCAATAATATACTATTCCCTGAATGAAATGCACCATAAGAATTTTATATTATAATTGAGATATCTCTTTTAATTTATCAATTTTCAAACATATTTTGATTCACTATCCATATTTTGAGAAGGATTTGCCATCTATAGAGCAAAGGAAAAAGGGGATCTTTGTCTAAGGAAATAAAGTAAAGATTTAACTTTAATCAATCTTCTCTTAAAACCTTTGAACAAGATAAACTCTTAAATGATCTACTACCGCCGGTGATAGCGACCGGCTACCACCTATGTGAATTGAACTTTACAAATTTATTTAATTAATCATTTTAATTCAATTATTTTTTGGTCAAATATCCCTGATTTATGTAATATAAAATATTTGTAAAAATATTTAGTATACATATTTTTTATTATATAAATTTACATC